ACACATGGCCCCAGGTAAGTTACTGTCCCCCTCATTCATTCTACACACACAGCCCCAGGTATGTTACTGTCCCACATGCAATCTACACACAGAGCCCCGGGTGTGTTGTAGTGGGGTGAAGCATGTATGTATGTATGTTTGTGGGGGTGAAGGTATGTAGGGAAGAAGTGTGTATGTGGGTGAAGAGATGATGTGTGTGAGGGGTGCACTGTGTGTGTATATGCAAAGGTGTACTCTGTGGTGGTAGGAGTGTACTGTATGTGGAGGGTTCACTGTCTGTGAGGGTGTACTGTGTTCAGGGGGGTGTAGAGAGTGGGATAGGGAAGAGCTTTACAATTTTTATTTTAATAATTGTTTTTAAAAAAAGAATATTGCCCTTTCCCTCATCTTACCTTACAGGGAGGGGGTGGCACATTTAGATCCGTGGTGGTTGAGAAGGCTGCCAATACATCGGGTACAGGGGAGGTCACGAGATGAGAGGTCTGTCTCTTGGAGCTCAAGCACTTACCCATACAAACCTACAGACTGCCCGCCCACACAGACTGACCCATACACACACAGACTGCTCCCCCCATACATACCCAGACTGACCTCCCCCTACACACACAGACTGACCCATACACAGACTGACCAATACACACACAGACTGACCCATACACACACACAGACTGACCCATACACACACAGACTGACCCAAATACACACACAGACTGCACTCCCCCCCACACACAGACTGACCCATACAAACCCACACAGACTGACCCATACACACAGACTGACCCCATACACACACACAGACTGACCCATACACGCAGACCAACCCCATATACACACACACAGACTGACCCATACATACACACAGACTGCACCCCCCCACACAGACTGACCCCATACACACACACAGACTGACCCATACACACACAGACTGACCCATACACAAACACACAGACTGACCCATACACACACACAGACTGACCCATACACACACAGACTGCACTCCCCCCCACACACAGACTGACCCATACATACAGACTGACCCATACACACAGACTGACCCATACACACACAGACTGACCCATACACACACACAGACTGACCCCTACATACAGACTGACCCATACACACAGACTGACCTATACACACACAGACTGACCCCATACACACAGACTGACCCATACATACACAGACTGAACCATACACACACACACAGAGTGACTTATACACACACACAGACTGACCCATACACACACAGAGACTGCACTCCCCCCCACACACAGACTGACCCATACAAACCCACACAGACTGACCCATACACACAGACTGACCCCATACACACAGAGACTGACCCATACACACAGACTGCACTCCCCACACACACACAGACTGACCCATACACACAGACTGACCCATACACACACACACACACACAGACTGACCCATACACACAGACTGACCCCATACACACGCAGACTGACCCATACACACACGACACACACAGACTGACGACACACACACACACACAGACTGACCCATACACACACACAGACCAAACAGACCCATACACACACACAGACCGACCCACACACACACACAGACCGACCCACGACACACACAGACCGACCCACGACACACAGACTGACGCACACACACACAGACCGGACCCATACACACAGACCTGACCCATACACACACACACACACACACACCGACCCATACACACACAGACTCCACACACACACAGACCGACCCATACAAACCCACACAGACCGACCCACACACACAGACCGACCCAGACACACACAGACTGACCCCTACATACAGACTGACCCATACACACAGACTGACCTATACACACACAGACTGACCCCATACACACAGACTGACCCATACATACACAGACTGAACCATACACACACACACAGAGTGACTTATACACACACACAGACTGACCCATACACACACAGAGACTGCACTCCCCCCCACACACAGACTGACCCATACAAACCCACACAGACTGACCCATACACACAGACTGACCCCATACACACAGAGACTGACCCATACACACAGACTGCACTCCCCACACACACACAGACTGACCCATACACACAGACTGACCCATACACACACACACACACACAGACTGACCCATACACACAGACTGACCCCATACACACGCAGACTGACCCATACACACAGACTGACCCATACACACACACACATACATAGACTAACCCATACACACACAGACTGACCCATACATACACAGACTGACCCCCCCACACACACACAGACTGACCCCATACATACACAGAGACTGACCCATACATAAACAGACTGACCCCATACATACACACACAGTGACCTCCCCACCCCCACTGACTCCCACTTACCAGCAGTTGCCTGGATACCTCTGTGCAGAGCTGAGTTTCCTCTCCCTGTCTCTCCCCTGCGCTGCTCTCTATGATCCAGCAGGTAGTCCTCCCAGCACAGCGCCCCCTCTGGCCGCACGTGGATAAAGGGCAGTGACAGTGCTGCTGCAGCTTGTAAAGGGAGACTCAATTGGGGGGCACAAGGGGGGGGGGCACTGCATAAAGTAGGGAGGGCCGTGGCCACGTCTGACCGCCCATAGCGCCGCCCCTGCTGTAATATGGGAGGCGTTACGCTTTTCTGACTGGTGAGATCTCTGGTCACCAAACCCAGAGCGTGGCCGATTGGAAAGGGTCTTAAAGGGTTACTCCAAGCACCATAACCACTTCATTGATATACGGTTATGGTCATGGTGTCTAGAGCCTTTATGTAGTGAAATGCTGCAAATCTAGAGATTAACCGAGTAACAAAATGTGCAATATTTTGTTTATTTTAACATATATAAAATATACAATACAATAGAATTTTTATTTTCCTGTATGTTCACCCCCATTTCACTGTGAGGGGTAAATGTATTTTATTTTTTTTAGGTGTTGCACTTGTTTTAGATGTGGGCATATCACATACACATCGAGTCACAGGTTTCTTTGTATACAGAGCCTTAGCTGCCAGAGATGTAACCTCTGACAGTGTCGTTAGCCAGCTTAATACAAAGTTCTGGGTTGGATAAAATCAATTCTGTGCAAAATTGGTGTCGAACACCAGCACACATGGTAAACCCCACTTCCCCCACTATTTAATAAATATATTAAACCCCACTTCCCCCACTATTTAATAAATATATACCCAATGAAAACAAGCATGCATTTAATTATGCATTTTTTTTATTGGGGATATATCTAAAAACAGCCTTTAGAAGCTTTAGGTCTCTTGTCTGCAGCCACTGCAAGCCCTTCCCTTTTTCCCCAAACCCAAACTTGCTGTGGCTGTCCAATCACAGACTTCCATGTGCAGCTCATTGGGAGTCTTTGCAATTGCTGCCTTTTGAGTTTAGCTCCACTGAGCAATAATTTATTTTTGTTAAAATAATTTATAAAAGTGCACATTTTCTATTGAATTCTGCATTTTGTAAAAAAAAAAAAAAAAGACAAATTCTTCACAAATAAAACATTTCAGTATGTGGTTTAGGTGTTTGGAGTGTCCCTTTTAAACCATTTTATGGTTTAAGAAAGAAGAAAAACAAAACGTTTTGTGAGGGAGCTGGTCCACATAACTTAAAACAAGGCTGTGGTGGGTCCAGGGAGGGATAGATGCGGAGGTGTGGGCAGGGACCCTTAGTCATTCAGCTTATCCCAGTTGCGGCTGAGCTTCAAGTTAAATTGACTAGTATCCCATGACCCGTTGCTGTGCAAGTTCAGACCAGGTGTGTCCAAGATTAATCTTCCACTACTACATTTCCCATAATTCTTTAGTGGATTCAAAAGTGGGCATTTGTTTAAACAAACCTTTACAAAGTATAATGGGCTAGACTAGAAGTCTCACAACTGAACATGTAGGGAGCATCTCTTTTCTCCCTAGCCTAGATTGTAAGCTCACAAGCCATCTTGCTAGAACTTCATGTGAAAGTGTTATAAATGATAGATTTAAAACAGGTAAGATACTCTCTTAAAACAATCACACAGAGATATGTCTTAATTTTGTTCTGTCTACATCCCCTGAATTGTTCCATTGCAGTGGGATAATGATCCTTCTCGAGGTAACCAGGCTGATTCACAGCTGTTGTAGAACTACAAATCTCATCATACTCTGCCTATTTCAAGGCTACCATCAGGGTTTGAAGTTCTTCAAAAGGTCGGGATGTCTATCATTTATCCACTCTAATTCTAAAGCATCCGTTGCATAATTATCTAGCACTAAGCACTTGATCAAATTAAGATACATTCTAAACAATGCTCTGAAAGGAAGGATGTTTCACAATTAATTTTGTTATAGATTCCAAAAATTGAATAACAGGTTAATGAGCTAATTTTTCAACTAAACTATAGGTCTGTAAGTTAGGGCCATAGATAGAATGTAGGTCTCCCTCCCCAAAGGATAAGACTCAATGCTCTATAGATCTTGAACAGATACAAAATATAGATTTAATATTTAAAAAATTTATATCCATCATCATAAATAAATCCCCCCACCACCCCCCCCTCAAAAAAAAAAAAACTCACACATGAACTCCAGCATAGCATAATTATTTATTTTAATTCCAAATGTAATAATTAGCACCCGCGGGCTGAGCACACATATCCATGGATATGAGAAGGTCTGGCTTATTCCAGTGACTGAGAACCATTCTAAATGGGAGACTTGAGAGACCTGAATCGGGAGCAGATATGACATTTTTTCCTCAGGGTGGAAATCTGAGACTTGGTGACAGTTTCCCCATGCTCAGAAGCTGAAATGGTGCAGAAGTTAATAATGGTAGCCTGAGGTTGCCAGAAAACAGACAGGCCACATTATTTAACCCGTGTGCTGCTAGCTAGTCTGACAAACTCACTTGCAAGTCTTTACTATTACTAAGTTTAGCATTAACCATTCAATTGCCAGACTCCTGAGCAGCACTAACTCAAATGTCCTCATTAGACTTGAAAAAAAAAAAATAAAAAAAAAAAATTATCCAAATCCAATTCTAATGCACACCCGGACAAATTGATTGTCTGGGACTTTTATACATTAAATATGACTGCACAGCTAAATACCAGACGATCGATTGGTTCGGGTGAGCATTAATAGAAATTTGATTCAGACGAAGTATCCAAAACAAATTTTTGTATAAGTCTAGTCCATATTATACGGTGCATTAAATCCCAGTACTCTGCTTTGTTATTTTTTTCGTCTTTAACCCCTTAAGGACACATGACATGTGTGACATGTCATGATCCCCTTTTATTCCAGATGTTTGGTCCTTAAGGGGTTAAGGAGCTTTTTTGTGTTTTTTTTTTTTTTTTGGTATAAAGGTTTCACAGTTGTCAATACCAATACAACACAGCAATGTGAGGGTGTATGACTATCACAGAACTTCACAGCAATACAACTCCCAACAATGTCTTGTATATAGGATTCACAATAAAAAGCTCATTTTAATATTCAGTGTGTAAAAGTGCATCACCGAGGTTCACAGCAATAAAAACGCACAGTGATATATTGAAAACACGAGTATCACAGAGCTCCACATAAAAAAAAATAAAATCAAAAATAAAAGTGTAGAATTATATGACAGAGCTCTACTGCAATAACCCAGTAACGTGCTGTAAGTATCACAGAGCTCCACACCAGCATGACTCACAGTGTGTTTGTGTACATGTACCACAGCAATAAAACTCACAATGACGTGTATGGTGCCTACTGATTACGTAACACAAAGGGAGCAAAGCCTTCTAAAAATGTACCACACTGGTATTTATACATCTGTCTAAATAAAATCGTTTTGAACATTTGCAAAGGAATTACCTATCCTATTAAAATATTTGTAGGTTTCAAAATTAATGAGGATACTCAGTGTTCTTGGGGACCTGGCACTCAAATGGTTAAATATTGTTCAAATAAATTTTTTGTTCTAACAAAATATGCATTGGGAACATAAGGAAACTAACAGGAAAAGGACACATCCCTGATAGATAGATATTATATATATATTCTATGGTAACGTTAACAGAGGCTTGTACATTAGATAAACCGCCCCGATATGGCAGCAGTTACCGGACAGTACAAAATAAGTGGAAAAGGAAAGCAAAATTATATAGTTTAAAATCTACGTATCCCATGTTGGCCATTTTTACGCACTATTACAGAAAACCACGGAACTACAGAAAATGGGTTTTATTTTGCAGATATGACATGTCTTAATCCACCAACGCAACACTGATTACGTGGGTAACAGGGATCAGTGTGTTTGCTTATAAGGGCTCAGTCCACCAGCAAACTGCTATTCACGGAAGGGTACTGTTCAAAAAATGCCTGGAAAATAACAAAAAACAAAGATATTAGACCAACAAAACAAGACAGGATGTTTATTTCCCAACACAGTCAGAGTCACAACTTGAATATTTTACTCATTAGTTTAATAAAGTAGGCCCTAAATTGTAAGACCATGGGATTTACTCTCTAAACAGCAAATTGTACTGCATTGACGTCTGTAAACCTGGCTAGTTTGATCTTCGTTTAAGAAGTTTGTCATTTCAAACTGTCAACTAGAGTAGAACGCCCAATACAATAATCAGAATATCACAAAGAGAAATACATAGAATTATTATAAAATTACAGAAGTGTGTGTGTGTGTGTGTGTGTGTGTGTGTGTGTGTGTGTGTGTGTGTGTGTGTGTGTGTGTGTGTGTGCGGGGTGAGCTCTGTGCTCAAGCAGGGATTCCACCTAGGTCTTTTGAGCAAGATTTATACACATCAGATAGAGAACAGAGTGTAGAATTTAAGTAGAATTATTTTGGAAAAAAGTAACGCTCAGCTGTGTTTATATTGTAAACAGTCCTATAAAAGAAGACCTGGGAGCTGGAGGGATGAGAATCAGAGATTCTTACCAATTATCAATAGAAATATTTAAATAAAAGTTTGCATTTATTACAGTTAACAACCAATGCAGAATAGGCTGGAGGTGGTGACGGTCGTGATTAATAGCACATCTCAAACAGATAAAAATCGGATGCAGTAACATTAAACAATATAAACACTCTCTCTTGCAAATGAAATGTAACGAGAATAGTCATGTGCAAGATGCAGGGAGAATGGAGGACCAGAAAAGGTTATGCCCAGGAGATCAGACAGAATACGATCAGTCTTGATTACTGGTGAAGGTGGGCTCATGTAGCCACGGAAACCATTATATCATCCTATAGGCCAATATGTCCTATTCCTCATTAGCAGTGTCCTGGTTTTGTCATAGCAACCACTTGACTAACCTGATGCCTGCTGTTGCTACAGCAACCAGGCAGTGACTTCAAGGCCAATGTGGGTTGCTATAGAAACAGCCAATAAGCTATAAGTACACATACAATTATTACCAAACACATAAGACCCAACAGAAAAAAAAAAACTATGAAAAATCGCATGAATACACATTTACATAAATGCACACAAACAGGCAGGGAATTCTAGTAAAAGCAAAAAAAATAAACTAAAAATAATCTGCTCAAAACAGACGTCCGTTCCCCTAAAAAAATAAAATAAAAAAATAAAAAAAAATCACAAGTAGGCAGATCTGAAGATTGAAGGTTAATGTAGATAAGGTTGGTAACATCAAGACTCGGCTGTATAAAACGCCCAACTAAGAGAGTGCGTCAGGATGGACTGGGTGCGGATTACAATATTTGCACCGGTATCCAAGTCAGAATACAATACAGGTGTAGTATGTACAACAGACCAGTGTTCTGAGAAGAATATTAAAAGAGAATAGATATTATTCTAAAATGGTTCTAAAAAGAACCAAGCTGCATTTAGAGAAATATTTAGAAAATAAGCAAACCGTGAAAATGAAGATGAATGTCATTGGAACTTTCTCAAATAAAAAAAAATATAGACATACACGTACGTACGTACGTACATACATACATACAGGTTAAAGAAGGCAATTTTTATCCGTGGATTCCCTTTGAGAATACATTAGTAGCAGTTAATGAGGACTGTGCCTTTATATGTATGTTTAATTGATAATTGTCACCTTGCTGATAAAAATGTCCCCTGTGCGTAAATTAACCAACATTCTCATTTCATGGCAATTCATTGTATTCAAGTTGGTGAATAAGCATCATAAAATGTAGCCCCATGCAGCCAAAGCACAGCTAAGCGAAAAAAGGGCCTTGACAGGGGTTAGGAGGCGGGCATAGGAGGAGGGAAGGAAGTATGGAGTTATGGGTAAGTAGGCTGTGCTATTTAAATAGGCAGCCATTTTAAGTGAGCTCACTTCTAATTTCCTACCTGACTGAGTTTGTGTGCACTTCTGTGTGTGCAGATTGGGTTAGGTAGGGCCTTTTTTCCTTCTTGTCATTTCTGCAGGGCCATGGACGAAGTGGAGAGGCTGCTGGAGGGGATCCGGTCAGCAGCGCGAGGTCATGGAGCGGATTGGTTGCGGGCCCAACTCGGACCGGCCCTGGCGGGAATGGCGGCCCAGGAGGGCGCGCAGGATCGTCCAGTGCGGGCCAGGAGGCCGCCGCGGAGGCTGAGCCCGGGCGTGGGGCCCGGTGAAGCTGGACCCAGCGGGCGCATGGCGGCGGGAGGAGGCCGCAGCAGGCCCGGTAGCAGCGCGGTCGAGGCCCCGCCTCCCAGCGCGCTACCGTGGCCTTGGGGACAAGCTGCGCGGCGGGCGGCTGCCCGTGACGGCGGCGGTCCGGCTCCCAGGTCGGAGGGGGCCGCGCCAGGAGCGGGGGCCGCGGCACCGGCCGGGCCCCCTGGAGGGATGGACCACGTGGGGCCGCAGCCCAGGAGGACGACCAGGAGGTCAGCGGATGCAGCAGGCGGGGACGGGACCGTGAAGCCGTCCGGCAGGCCCCAGGACAGACAGGCAAGTGCAGGGGGCCCCGCCAGGGGCTCTCTTGGCGTGCTGGGTGCTGGGAAGGAGTTGCCTGGGGGTAGTGGAGACGGAGGGATGGGGGGTACTAGGCCGGCCACTCTAGGGTTACTAGGGGATAGGAGGGGGGTCGTGGGCGGTGCCCAGGGTAGTTCAGTGGTACTGGAGAAGGGGCGGGTAGTGAGGGGGAAGAGGTCAGGGGCACCTAAGGGGTCCCTCAGTACTACAAGATTAGACAGGGGGTCTCCCTCTGGGATTAGGGGTGGGCCTGGGCCTGTGGGGCAGTCGGGGCCCCTGGGAGCAGGGGGGTTAGCTGATCAGGCAGTGGCTAGGCTGGATAAAGGGGGTGTTGAAGGCCGGGGAGCCCGTCAAGGTGGGGGTGGGGGGTTGGCCCGGGTGGACAGGCAGGTGCAGGGGCGCAGTGGCAGGAGGGGGGGGTCGAGCTCGGGGTCTAGCAGCATTAGCCCATCCCCAGTTAGGGATCAGGGAGCTGGGGGAGCTAGGGGGAGGTCAAGACAGGACAGTTCCACCTCTGAGGGGTCGGACAGGAGCAGGGTCAGGGCCCCCAGGCATGGTCGGCGGGGGCGGACCGAACGCTGGGGGGGAAGGAGTCGTAGCCCACGGGGCGGGGCCATCCAGGCCTCTGGAGCACGGACTACGGGCACCACACGGAGGGAGGCTTTGGTGAAGGGCAGGCGCTCCCCGGGTCGAGGGTGAGAGGGTGACAGGGGATCGTTACACCCTACCCAGGACATCTTCTCCTCGTTACAGGTCTCGGAGCCGGTCATCTTCTGTGTTAGCTGGGCACCGGGTTGGCTCCCCGGTCGGCGGGGCGTTAACGGAGGTCGCTCCTCCCGGACGGATTACAGTGGACAACGCAGCCCCCAGCGCTCGGAGACCGGGGGGCTTGGCCGGTGAGTCCTGTGCCTCGTTGCAATCCAGTACATTGATTCACACACTACAAACACTTCTCCACTCGCTGGGAGCGGGGGGTGACACGGGTGGCGGTGTAGGTCAGGTGTGGGCACAGGGGACAGGGGCCACGGGTGTTATCTCTGCAAAACCGAGTTCGAGCGGGGATTCGGGAGCGGCTGGCAGCAGGGCGGACGCAGCGAGTGAGCGGGCGGAGTTGACTGGTGGGGGGGTCCCTGATGCGGCCAGACAGCACGCATACGTGTCGTTCGCTGGTCCGCTCGGGGTGCACCTCAAACAGGAGGTGAAAGACAAGATCTGGAAGGGCGAATTCTGTGAAATCTTTTCCCTGCTCCCCTTAGAGGAGTTTATAGACCTCAAGGAGGAAGATAAGAAAGACGAGAAAAAAGAGGAGGAGGAGAAAAAGAAGCGGTATCGTAAGATACCGAAATCTTTTGGCAACTGGCTAAGGGCGTTCTGCGTCCTGGCCAGTGTCCTAGGTGAGAAATCGCCGGAATCGTGCTCCTCCCTGTTTTGCTATTTAGACGGAATTTGGGAGGCATACCGCACCTACGGCGGGCTGGCGTGGTGGCGGTATGATGAGCAGTTCCGGCAGCGCTTGGCGGCTAATCCGGGTATGAGATGGGACCAAATGGACCTGCCCCTCTGGATGAAATTGATGATGGCGCAGAAGGCGCAGCCCTTTCAGCACACGGCCGGCGCAAAGGGGCAGTCCGCCTCGTCGGCCGCCTTGCAAAAGGGCTTATGCTGGCTCTTCAATGAAGGCCAGTGCAAATGGGGGAACACCTGTCGTTTTAAGCACGAGTGCTCCGGCTGCGGGGGCACACACGGGCTTAACCGATGCTTCAAAAAGGGGAAGTCAGGACATACCGGAGTCGCTGCTACGGTTGGGGGGGGAGGAGGGGTCTCCTCTGCCCCGGGGCTTAACCCCGGTGAGGCTAGACGAGATGGAGCCATGGCTAAGCCGCTACGGTAATAGGGCAGACGCCGAGTTGCTACGGGCGGGCTTTGGGCAAGGGTTTTTTATCCCGTTCCGGGACAGGGGGGGATCTGGGGTGCGGCGCAACCTTAAGTCGGTGGCGGAGTTCCCGGGGGTGGTGCGGGAGAAATTAGAAAAGGAAGTTTTATTGGGTAGGATGGCGGGCCCATTCTCGACACCGCCGTTGGAAGGCCTTAGGGTTTCCCCGCTCGGGGTGGTACCCAAGAAAGAGCCGGGGAAGTTCAGGCTCATCCACCACCTCTCCTACCCCAAGGGAGCGTCGGTGAATGATGATATCGACAAAGAGTTGTGCTCGGTCTCATATGCATCATTCGACCGGGCGGTCGAGCTGGTTAAGAAGGCCGGGCGCGGGGCGCTGATGGCAAAGGTGGACATTGAGGCAGCATTCCGGCTGCTTCCGGTCCACCCGGCATGTCACCACCTTCTGGGGTGTTTCTTTGAAGGGGCATATTTTGTGGACTTGTGCCTCCCCATGGGCTGTTCCATCTCGTGCTCATACTTTGAGAAGTTCAGCACTTTCCTCGAATGGGTGGTACGGGCGGAGGCAGGGAATGGATCAGTGGTGCACTATTTGGACGACTTCTTCTGCGTGGGGCCGGCAAGCACTCCTGCTTGCCAGCATTTGCTGCGGACTATTGAGTGGGTCGCTGGGTGCTTCGGGGTCCCGCTGGCAGCGGATAAAACGGAAGGCCCGGCAGTGTGCCTTAGTTTCCTGGGGTTGGAGATTGACTCAGTGCGGGGCGAATGTCGGCTGCCGCTGGCAAAGCTGC